GCGGCGGGACCGGGCCGAAACGCGTCGCGGAGCCGCCCCCCACAGCCACTCACCGAACTTTTGTGTTTTGTTTTGTTTTTTGTTCTTTTTTTTTTTCCCTCTCCCCTCAGTGATAACTCGCAGGTTTTTCAGCCTTATGTGTTGCGAACTCGCCGGAACAGCACAACAGTTATGAGCCGTCACAGTATGGTAGGGAATCTCCAGCGTGGCTTTGTTTGTGCCTAGCAAGAAGTAATTAGCTGGGAAAGTTCAAGATAAATTCGATTTTTATTTGCGCTAAGCACCGTAGCAAGCCTTCAGAATGCTGTATTTTTATTCCATCTGTAGGCACAACTTGCAGATAAATAAACTTGTGTGTTGAACATATATTTTTGCCCCCCTCCCCCAGAAGGGAAGAATTGCTGAAGCCACTTTAGAATCTGTGCAACTTAATGTGCAAGCTGAGCACTGTGTGGTAGAGAAAACCTTTGTCACGACTGAACATTGTGAATGGCTGTTTGATGCTTCAGTAAAAATGTAAAAGAGGGAGCCACAGATTTCCTCTAAATGTATGTTTTTGATGGACAATATTTCTTGCAAAAAGCTGAACCTGTGCATCAGAGCATTGCATGAAGGACAGTAATTTATATACTGGGTGAAACTCTTACCCCCAGTGTGTAAGGTTGTTAGAGTAGTGCTGCAGTTTCTGAAGTTCTGAGAAATGCTGCATTTCCCCTTTACTCCTTCTCCTTATTGTCAGCCTCTGCTCTTTCCTGCATTATTTATTTATTTCTCATCTAAACTTTGCTTCTCACAACCTGAAGTCTGGAAAGACAGATAAGCAACATATGTTCTATTTTGTTCAGAACAAGTGGGTTGGAATTTTAGTTCCAAGTCTCCTCCTCTTCTAAAATTCTAGGAAGTTATATTTAAGAAGTATTGTAACTCGAAACAGTAGATGTTGCAGTAGTATGTTACATTTTGAGTGGTCATGTTACACTTGTGTAACTGTGGCAGTAGCCAAAGTTAAAATACTATGTTATTGCAAAAGGCAAGTTTTCAGGAATTCTGTTCAAGGTGAAGCTGAGGCACTGAGATTTTTTCCTCTTTTTATAAGCCAGATGGTTGAATAAGTAAGTAGTGGAGTCTGTCTCAGCGTTAGAGAGTTAAGTTGCATGATGTTCTTTTTTTGTTTCATTCATAATACCCCGTGCTCTTACTGCTATACTGAGCCCTGCAGTCTGAGATCTGTGCCACTTGCCGAGTGATAAAATGAGTTTGCAAGGACTTGAACTAGTCTCTTGCAGATCAGTGTTCTCTTGTCTGCAAGGCTATGTAGCTGTGCGTGTGTTTGTACAGATCAATTTTATTATTACATTCTTGGTGAATTAAGACTGGTAAGAAATAGCATGCATGTGAGCCAGTGGTTTTTGTGATTTAAACATGTTAGTCGTGTTTTTTTCAGTTGCTGTCATCATCTCCTATTCGCATTCCTAGTAGCCGACTTCATCAGATCAGAAGGGTAAGTATAATTTTTAACTATATATCTTAGTACTCCAGTATTTATATAAAGGCTTCTATAATGGGAATCTCTCTTTTCTTTTTTTTTCTTTCTAAGCTCCATTTCCTTTAGTAGTTGAAGAACTCAGTTCTGGCATGAAGTGTCCTTGCAGTGCTTGTCATGTTTAAACTTCATTGCTTATTTATTAAAGAGACATGTTGAGTGGGCTGCTATCAGTCTCTTCTTTCTGGAGAGCTTGTAGTGTTCACATTGGAATTCTAGAGGCAAATTATTGAACCAGGGTGTTCTAAGCACTTTTGAACCAGAGAAACTTAGAATCTCTGTCTTGCAGGAGGAAGGAGTGGATTTAATGAACAGGGAAACAGCACATGAAAGGTGAGCAGTAGTGAAACAAGGTGATGAAGTAACCAGAGTTGTCCTCTTTGTAGCTGGGAAAGAGAGGAAATAACTGTGGAAATAATTTAAGAAAATCTTAAAGTCATTTGGTTTATCTCTTTTGGGCAGTTGACCTAATAACTTTCCGTCAGAAAGTTGTGGCTTGAATTCTAAGGTAACATTCTGTGACACTATTAAGTTTGAAATTTTTCTATTTACAGAGCGACAATGATTTGGACAAGTCTGAGAAATCTTCATCCCCCAAAAGAATAGACTTCATCCCCGTTTCGCCTGCACCTTCACCTACGAGAGGAATAGGAAAGGTAGGATAAATGGTAAACCAAAAGGAGAAAACATGTTAGATTAAATAACACTGTTTAAGACAGATGAAACTTGACTTTTTTTTTGGTCATTATATTAAGGAAGAAAAATATCTTGACAACATGAAGTTTGCATTTTCTTTGTTTTTAGCACTTAGTTGCTTGTTGCCTTAGAGCTTGCAGCCTAAGCACTGTGCTAGTTGTTCTGCCCTGTTGCCACACTCGGTGTTTGCTGCTGTTTGTGTGGTGTTTGAGAGGGCTGGGGCTCTGGTTCTAAGATGACCACTGCAGTAATCAGATGACATGAGTTACGTAAGTTGAGGCAATGCTGAGGAAGAAGCATCGAGATCTGAACCTACCAAATGTGGAAAGAGAAAATAGACAAAGGTAGGAAGCTGCTCACCTCTGATGACAATGGAAATGTGCCCATCAGATAGGGAAAGCAGGGCATAAAGTTGCTGCAAAGAAAAACTGTTCAAAATTGCCACATTAAATTTTCACTGAGGACCGGCAGATGCTGGAAAATGCAAAGAGGTGGACTTCAGATAAAGATCTGATAATTTTTTCAGTTATAACTGGAAAACTGAAAAATGTTTCACAAAGAAAAACTGTGCAACTGTGTCTGGAGAACTGCCTTCTTGCACTTGTTCTAATGCTCTTTTCTGGCTCTGCTTTTTTATTGCTGCTCGCTCATTGCACGTGTGTTGGTGCGCAGAGCAGCCAATACTAATACTGCGTAAAGCTGACCCTGGTATAATGAGTTTAACAGTGATTAGAAAATGTCATCTATTTCAACTTCGTGCGTTCAAAAACCCATAAAAACAGGTTAATGTGAGCGGTATTGCTTTAGCCAATATAGTTCTGTAAATTCAGTTTTAATCTAAGATTGTGCTTGATAATCAGCTTTTGTTACTAGGTTTTCTTTAATTGGGGATGTTTTGATGGGCTGGGGAGGGAACACTGGAGTATTAAAAAGGTAACTGAGGTCTCTTAATGTGACTCTCTTTGCAGCAATGTTTTTCACCATCATTGCAAATGTTTGTGAGCAGTAATGGATTACCTCCAAGTCCCATTCCCAGTCCAACAAGGCGATTCTCTAGGTAAGTAGCTTCTCAAAGTGGTGATAGGAACTCATTGGTTTGAATTGCAAGGCAAGCATAAAGGTTAGTTATAGGTGATGTTCAGGCATTAAAAGAGATTTTGCTTTATCAAAGTTGTAATACTGCTACATGAAAATGCTCTGAGAGTTCAAACTACCAGTGGCAAGTTCCTGTGGATGTTCCTTGACAGTCTGTGTCAACTTTAAAATAGACTTTTGGGAAATTCCTGGGTGTTTCACATAAACTTCATTACATTGGTCAGTATGTTATTAGAGATGGATGTAAGTGAGAATGTGATGTGCTGGGCAGAAAACTACAGAAAGTCTACTGTGTTTGTACAGCAAAAGCACACAGCCTCCTCGTAGGCAGCACATCCTTGTTTACCTACATGTTCAGATTCCTTCACATTCCAGTTGCACTGGAGTAGTTTTAAAGAGCATTTCATGTGATAGGTTATGTTGACTTGATATGAAGCCTGTTGTTCAAATTTGGAACTTTACAGACCTTACTATCAATACTATCTCTTTAGCAGGAGGAGTCAAAGTCCAATCAACTGTATCAGGCCCAGTGTTCTTGGTCCCATTAAAAGAAAAGGTATGTGTATTCACATTATCAGATGTTTCAACATGGACGTGGTTTTTAAGCTAAATATGTTCTCTTTTCCTTGTTTTTTTATTGTCCCATAAATACAAGGTTCTTGCATCCACAATGAACTGGAATTTGCTGATCCTACCTTCCAGATAAAATGTAGAGGAGCTAGTTTAAAATAAAAGAATGAAAAACCTTAAAAGCAGCTACTGCTCAAGAGGCACACTTTAATCAATCTGGAATTAAACGTTTATGAATATTTGTAAGCTGTGAAATTCCAAAGAGTGTCACTGTATGGTGCACACCCTTCAGATCATTCTTGGAATGTTGTTTATCATGCAATATCATCTAAACTTAGTAGCCAGTAGAAAATGTTTGTTTTCACTCTGAAAGTTCAGAAGGTGAGTATGTGAGAATTAGAGAAATGGAATGTATCAGTGTTCTGTTGCAAGGGGAAACGTGATTCCTTCCTGGAAGCACTCAGTGTTAAGATATTGAAAGTGCATCCTGGAGCAAATCTTCGTAACAGGATTGTAAGATAATTGAAAACGTGCCTCTAATGATAGTTTTCTTCCCTACTCACATATTCTGGAATGAACCAAAAGGATGTTCTTTCATTTTCAAAGATATATGTTTATGGTTCAGCCTTTGAGCAAAGATACTGGGGTGGTTTTATTTTGTTTTTCTTCAGTCTGACTGTCTTGTTAAGTAAGACTATCCAGGGAGCTTTGGACTGATGGAAAGACAGACGGCTTTTTGGAGGTGTCACTTCTGTCTGGGCTATTAGTAATCCATGGATTCTCCCACTTCTGTTCGAATTTTTTAATGCCACTAAATGATTACAGGTTTAAAGAAAGTCTGAACCATGATGAATAAGTACAAATGCATATACATGCTAAACTTTTATATTCAACTTTTATGAGAAATCGTATGTGCACATGAGTATCTGCGGTATTCAGGAGGTTGAAATTGTATACCAGTTTGGTGTTTTTATTTTCATGATTATGCCTAAGAATTTTAATTTCCATGCTTTCTTACGTCATTTGCCTTAGCTCAGCTGAGGCTTAAACTTCCGTAATAAGTTTGCTTTAGAACACATTATCTGATTGTTTTCTAAGTAGCAAGTGCCTTTTTTTTTTTTTTTTCTCAGTGAGTTTAATAGTGAGTTTAAAATGAGTTTACAGTTTAGTAAGACTATTTTAGTCCCTCAGATACTGCTGAAGTAATAGTTAAATTAAAGATGGACTGGATGATGAAACAACAGCTAGCATCAAGGTAACGTGCCTTACCCAAGTGCTCAGTTGGATGCACTAGGGACCTTGTAATATAAATGCAGCCTTGCAATATTATGGGCAACATCTCTGTTAAAACAGACAAATATCCGATGGATGTTCAGAGACCCAAGTAAATTTGACTTTTTGCACTATTTTCCTTAGGTGAAATGGAAACTGAAAGTCAGCCAAAGAGACTTTTTCAAGGAACAACCAACATGCTTTCTCCAGATGTTACACATCTGACAGATCTCAGTTCATGGTAAAATATTTTATGTGCCCTGAAATGCCAAAACGGAGAATGTAGATGTTAAGAGCATTTTTGTTTTTTCGAGAATAATCTTTGTGCATAGCCTATGTGTACATTTTACTAGGAATTACTGTTGTGTTACTGTAGTGTAACAATGTTCAGGCTTGTTTGATAAATTTCTCCTGAGCAGACTAACCTAGATTTTGTATCATAACTTTAACACTGAATAATTGGCTCATAAGCAAAGTTACTTTGTATAGAAGTTTCCTCCTCATTTCATTGCACCGTGGGCAGTGGTAATATAATATTGGTGGCACTTCCCTGAGTATTTAGGAAATGGGCTATCCTGTGTGTGGTTGATGCAGTCATGTAGTTCTTCTCGATACGTTTATGATTTTGTGTTACATGCTGTTTCTTTATTGTAAATCATAAGAAGCTGACTAGTGCTTTGTGTCAAAAGAAGCCAGATAAAGTACTCTGGAATGTCAAAACTGTATACCGTAATTTCAGCTAACTGACAGAATTGCAACGTCCAGAAATGTTTTTCTTTTTTTTTTTCCATGTTGCTTCTGGCTAAATTTAATAATATCAATTGACATGACCTCTGTATACATCAAAGGTTCAAAATCGAAACAGATGAATTATTTATATAAAAGGGAAAAACACATTTCAGTGTTTTGCTTTTAATGATGTAAAAGAACAAGCTTGCTAATTAATGACATCTCTGCTGCATTGCTGAGTAGATTTGTAATTCCTTTCCTGCAACCTTTTATGGTTCTGCTCTAATGGTATTAGTTATCACCTCTTTTCTGTAACTCTTTGAAGTTGGTCTGAATTTAGTCTGCATGTTAAGGAGAAAATCATTCTGCTCCTTATTCCCGTAAGGAGCATGAATATGTATATAACATGCTAGAGAAAACAGGGAGTCTTCAGGGCCGCCAGCCTTGCAGTGCAGGCTGCGTGGTAGTATGTGTCTCCTCCATCTCTTCAGCGATGGGGCAAGTGCATTGACTCCGCTGAGTTTGTGTTCAAAGTGGGTTCTCACCAGGTGTCACCTCTTTTCAATGGCTGATTGAAGTTGGTCCTAATTCTGCATGTTAAGAGAAAAGGTCATTCTGCTCTTTGTTCCCTTAAGGAGCATGAATATCCATATAACATGCTAGAGAAAACAGGGAGTCTTCAGGGCCGCCAGTCCTACAGAAGAGACTGAGTGGTAGTATATGTCTCCTACATGTCCTTACAGTGCAGAAAATGCCCTGACTTAGCTAACTTGTACACAAAGTCGTGGTGCTCGTGTTACTGAATTGCCATTTTTCTCTTTCCCCAGCCTGTCCTCAGATATTCTTGATGGGAGCAGCAGCAGCGTTGGCTCTTCCTCTGATTCCCTGACTAAAGGCAGCATAACCACCGAGTCTCCAGTAACGTGCTCCAACTCCTGCTCCTCGTTCATCCTCATGGATGATCTCTCACCCAAGTGACTTCTCGGTTCCGAGTCGGTGTTTGGCTGTGCTGCTTCCTGACTGTGCACTCGTACAGAGAAACGAACTCTGATCCTTGAACCATTAACGCGAGGATTAATGCTAAATGGAAAAAAAATTATTGTAACTGCAATCCTTGGCAACTTTCCAGTGATTTTGATTTATCCATTTAATGGACATGTTAGACCATATTAATGTCTGATTTTTGCGGATTTATTTTATAGGCAAGATGTCTGCTCAGATTATACTAACTTTTGCTTTCAAAAACTTGCATACACTTTTTGATTCCAAGATAGGTGTCTACCTATTAGTGTTGCAATTTTTAGAAAAATACTTATCACTATTGTGGTCACTATGTCTAGGGTAATAATGTGGTTCAGAAGGATTTGAAAATATTAACTTATTCTCTGGCACTTCTACCATTAAGTAAAACTATGTACTTTTTTTTTTCCCCCCCCCCTCCAATAACTAGTTCAAAATTCTCTTGCAGAAGGGATTTTTTTTTTCTTCCTAGTGCTACCAGTCATTTCTTTTAATAGAGAAGACCACTGCTGGTCTGGAAATCTAATTCTATTACATTTTTTAAAAATAGTGACTGGTATTTCCACCATTGGTTGAAAAAGTAACAATACTCTATGAACATGATTAAAGTAGCTGCATAGTTCTCTCTCCAGACCCTTCATCCTACAGATTATATGAAATATGGTCAATTTTCAGAAGCATTTGGCCAAGGAAAATGAATCCATGCCTCATTCTAAGACATACAGTGCAAATAATAACTAAGTTATTGAAACTACTGTGTAGGAGAACATGTGTGGCACCATCAATGTCTCCTGTGGCATTGAGGTCACAGGTATTTTTGTGCCTTAGGGGACATTGTTACAGATTATGGGATGTAACCTGAGGGTGGGTGGGAAGGTCCTTTGTGTACAGCGTGTGCAGGGCGCTGAGCGGAGCCTGGGGCCGGGATCCCCCCGCGCCGACGGGGCAGCCTGCGTGACAAACACCCGTGGGGACCGTGACCTGCTGCCCACAGCGTTTCTGCCTTTGTCACCAGCAGGGCCAGCAACTGAACGAACGTTTGGTTGCTGAGGAAAAGCTTGAAGGTGGGATCGCAAACTGCTCTGCAGATTGCTTGGCCGAGGAGCTGCATCGGCGCTCGCAGTGTCTTCATACGGTATCTTGGTCACTCTAAGGTAAGACAATAGATATTTTACTTTTTAAAGAGACTTAATGGGGCAAAATAAATCCGTTTGTAATCTACTGTGTTATGCTATTTATTATTTATAACTATGTAAAAAGTCTGTGGTGATGAATTATAGTATTTTTTTATGATTGAATAAGTTTTTTATGTTCAGTAATTGCTGGCTGGTTTGTATTTAATACGCAACATTGTCTGCCAGAATCATAAGCTTCCATTTTTGAATGTTTGTAAGTAACATAAATGCTTTTGTTACCTAAAAGTACAACTTCTGATCTTTTTTTTGAAAGAAAATAGCACTGAATTTAGAGTAGATTATGTGCTTTAAAAGTGAGCACAATCTCTGGCAATACTGTCTGGCTAAATAGGGTAGGGGATGAACCATAGTTTCTTCTCTCTTTCTGAAAAAGCTGTTTAGTTTCCAGAAAACATGTACATACCATATTATTTTTTAAAGCATTTCCATTGCATTGTAAGAAGAACCATAATGGGCCAACAGTGGCACTTTTATTTGTATTATCACTTTCTTCTTGTGGAGCATTAGTTCCCCACTTCAAATAAATGTGCATATTGTAAAAATATTGTCCACTGGTGCCATTTTTAAATGAGCTCTACAATATTGAATGTTAATTTTATTTGTATGTGCACAGTGCTATTTCTTGAATTTTCGATGTCTTAAATTGCTTAGTTTTTTTATTCATGCTTGTATTTCCTCTGCCTCCTTGATGCTGGAAGAAGGCTGTTTTTACATTTGCAAAGTGCTGATAAACGCTCTGTGACAAAATCCCCCTTGTTATTTGCGCCCCGGTGTCGTTATCCCGTGCGCCTGTTGGACCTGTGAGGTACAAACCTGACCCCGGGGTGGCAGAAGGGGCCAACCTATTGCATGCTGTCCTGAAGCTGAGAAGAGCAGAGTTCTTGCTCATTTTTGGCTGACTTACCTGTACAATTGATGTATTCCAGATTTGTTTGTCAGTGGAGAGTCGTACATAAGCGCTGGCCTCTGTAAGCATTAGAATGTAAGCTTCATAAAGCTTCATAAAGCAAACGCACAACTGTCGCTCTTGTTACAGCATTTTTATTAACGTTCTGCCCATCCTTCACGCTTCAAAAGACATTGCTTTTATAAAATATATATATGCACTCTGTTTCAGAATGAATGTCATTGTGCAACTGTACTAAGTCCCCTTAGGACTGCACTTCCCCACAGCTAAGACCACTTGTTCATATTAAGACTGGACATGCAGAGTTTTCTAATATTGTACCAGCTGGTGCCTGCATCTAACTGCATGTGAGCTGCTGCTGCTGCTGCCTGGAGTCAACCCGTGCTGCTGCGTGCAGGTTAGTGCAGGACGCCCTGGCTAAAGCTGACCAAGAGCCACGTTTCCTCTGACCAAAAGCCACGTTTCCTGGGGTTATTGCCTGTCTTGGCCGCAGTGAATTCGCTGTTGCTTTGGGGCTACCGGCTGCTGCGCCCAGGCAGCCTGAACAGGTAACCCCAGAGCCTCCGAACGCGGGAGCCGCTCGTGGCTTTCTGTTTGTTTTAGTACAACAAAGGTAGACTTAGACTGAACAATTCAGCACATTCAGATTTAGCACTGAATTACCATGGTGGGTGTTCGGGAATTTCTCCTTCCCCCTATTATTTTCCTTCTGGAAGTTAGCTTCCAAAAGAAAACTCCTCAATGCGTTTTTGCTGAGAATTGCTAAGAAACCCCGGAGATGCCTTATCCTTTAGCATGGTAACTATTAAGAAGAAGAAAACACTTGCCAAATAAGCAGTGAAATTCAAGCAGCATTTTACACAGACTATGTTTAGTGTGTTAATGAGCACAGTGTTACGATGTTAGACTTTATAGGGCTCATTGACTAGCTCTGCCTTTAGATTATATCAGAAATACACTGAGCCCTCATTTAGCAAGCTTAAAATGCTGGTAGGATTTTATCACTGATTTAGGGGAAAAAATGTCTATGTCAGCTGTGGATTCTGTGTTTTAATTCTTTGTTTTGATAATATCAAATGTTCTGAATCAGGAAGCAGATCTCAGTGGGGCTGTTGCATCCCAATTCACTGAATTTCAGATTGGGGATCCTGGGCCCTCAAAAGGCCTGTATTGAAGGGGCTGTTTTT